TTGTCAGTTGCTTCATTTGCAAATATTTTCTCCCATTCTGAGGGTTGTCTTTGGTCTTGTTTATGGTTTCCTTTGCTGTGCAAAAGTTTTTAAGTTTCATTAGGTCCCATTTGTTTATTTTTGCTTTTATTTCCATTTCTCTAGGAGGTGAGTCAGAAAGGATCTTGCTGTGATTTATGTCATAGAGTGTTCTGCCTATGTTTTCCTCTAAGAGTTTGATGGTGTCTGGCCTTACATTTAGGTCTGTAATCCATTTTGAGCTTATTTTTGTGTATGGTGTTAGGGAGTAATCTAATCTCATACTTTTACATGTAGCTGTCCAGTTTTCCCAGCACCACTTATTGAAGAGGCTGTCCTTTCTCCACTGTACATTCCTGCCTCCTTTATCAAAGATAAGGTGACCATATGTGCGTGGGTTGATCTCTGGGCTTTCTATCCTGTTCCATTGATCTATCTTTCTGTTTTTATGCCAGTACCATACTGTCTTGATTACTGTAGCTTTGTAATATAGTCTGAAGTCAGGAAGCCTGATTCCTCCAGCTCCGTTTTTCGTTCTCAAGATTGCTTTGGCTATTCGGGATCTTTTGTGTTTCCATACAAATTGTGAAACGTTTTGTTCTAGTTCTGTGAAAAATGCCAGTGGTAGTTTGATAGGGATTGCATTGAATCTGTAGATTGCTTTGGGTAGTAGAGTCATTTTCACAATGTTGATTCTTCCAATCCAAGAACATGGTATATCTCTCCATCTATTTGTATCATCTTTAATTTCTTTCATCAGTGTCTTATAATTTTCTGCATACAGGTCTTTTGTCTCCTTAGGTAGGTTTATTCCTAGATATTTTATTCTTTTTGTTGCAATGGTAAATGGGAGTGTTTTCTTAATTTCACTTTCAAATTTTTAATCATTAGTGTTCTTAAGTGCTCATGGAACATTCTCCAGGATAGATCATATCTTGGGTCAGAAATCAAGCCTTGGTGAATTTAAGAAAATTGAAATCATATCCAGTATCTTTTCCGACCACAATGCTATGAGACTAGACATTGATTACAGGAAAAAAACTGTAAAAAATACAAACACATGGAGGCTAAACAAGACGCTACTAAATAACCAAGAGATCACTGAAAAAAAGAGGAAATCAAAAAATACCTAGAAACAAATGACAATGAAAACACGACGACCCAAAGCCAATGGGATGCAGCGAAAGCAGTTCTAAGAGGGAAGTTCATAGCAATACAATCCTACCTCAAGAAACAAGAAAAATCTCAAGTAAACAACCTAAGCTTACACCTAAAGCATTAGTGAAAGAAGAACAAAACTCAGTGTTAGCAGAAGGAAAGAAATTATAAAGATCAGATCAGAAATAAATGAAAAAGAAATGAAGAAAACAGTAGCAAAGATGAATAAAACTAAAGGCTGGTTCTTTGAGAAGATAAACAAAATTGATAAACCATTAGTGGGACTCATCAAGAAAAAAATGAAGACTCAAATCAACAGAATTAGAAATGAAAAAGAAGTAACAGCTGTACTGCAGAAATAAAAAGGATCATGAGAGATTACTACAAGCAACTGTATGCCAATAAAATAGACAACCTGGAAGAAATGGACAAATTCTTAGAAAAGCACAACCTTCCGAGACTGAACCAGGAAGAAATAGAAAATATAAACAGACCAATCACAAGCACTGAAATTGAGACTGTGATTAAAAGTCTTCCAACAAACAAAAGCCCAGGACCATATGGCTTCACAGGCAAATTCTATCAAACATTTATAGAAGAGCTAACACCTCTCCTTCTCAAAACTCTTCCAAAATATAGCAGAGGGTGGAACACTCCCAAACTCATTCTATGAGGCCACCATCACCCAGATACCAAAACCAGACAAAGGTGTCACAAAAAAAGAAAACTACTGGCCAATATCACTGATGAACATAGATGCAAAAATTCTCAACAAAATACTTGCGAACAGAATCCAACAGCACATTAAAAGGACCATCTACCGTGATCAAGTGGAGTTAATCCCAGGAATGCAAGGATTACTCATTACACACAAATCAATCAACGTGACACACCATATTAACAAATTGAAGAATAAAAAATGATAATAAAAAATGATAATTTCACAGATGCAGAAAAAGCTTTCGACAAAATTCAACACCCATTTATGATAAAAACTCTCCCAAAAGTAGGCATAGAGGGAACCTACCTAAACATAATAAAAGCCATATATGACAAACCCACAGCCAACATCGTTCTCAGTGGTGAAGAACTGAAACCACTTCCTCTAAGATCAGGAACTAGTCAAGGTTGCCCACTCTTACCGCTGTTATTGAATGTAATTTTGGAAGTGTTAGACACAGCAGTCAGAGAAGGAAAAGAAATAAAAGAAATCCAAATAGGAAAAGAAGAAGTAAAACTGACATTGTTTGCAGATGACAGGATACTATACATAGAGAATTCTAAAGATGCTACCAGGAAACTACTAGAGCTAAACAATGAATTTGGTAAAATAGCAGGATTAATGTACAGAAATCCCTTGCATTCCTATACACTAATGATGAAAAATATGAAAGAGAAATTAAGGAAACACTCCCATTTACCATTGTAACAAAAAGAATAAAAAGCTAGGAATCTACCTAAGGAGGCAAAAGACCTGTATGCAGAGAACTATAAGACACTGATGAAAGAAATTAAAGATGATACAAACAGATGGAGAGATGTACCATGTTCTTGGATTGGAAGAATCAACATTGTGAAAATGACAGTGCTACCCAGAGCAATCTACAGATTCAACGCAATCCCTATCAGACTACCAATGGCATTTTTCACAGAACTAGAACAAAAAATTGCACAATTTGTATGGAAATGCAAAAGACCCCGAATAACCAAAGCAATGTTGAGAAAGAAAAATTGGAGCTGGAGGAATCAGGCTCCCTGACTTCAGACTATACTACAAAGCTGCGGTAATCAAGACATTATGGTACTGGCACAAAAACAGAAATATAGATCAATGGAACAGGATAGAAAGCCCAGAGATAAACCCATGTACATATGGTCACCTTATCTTTTTCTTTTTTTTAAATTTATTTATTTTTTATTTGTATTTTTGGCTGCGTTGGGTCTTTGTTGCTGTGCATGGGTTTTCTCTGGTTGCGGCGAGTGGGGGCTACTCTTCATTGCTGTGCGCGGGCTTCTCATTGCGGTGGCTTCTCTTGTTGCAAAGCACGGGCTCTAGGCCTGTGTCATACAACATCCTCGCTTTTAAGTATCCATTCTACTTGTATTCTCTTTTTAAAATTTGTACCTAGAGGGCTTCCCTGGTGGCACAGTGGTTAAGAATCTGCCTACCAATGCAGGAGACATGGGTTTGAGCCCTGGTCTGGGAAGATCCCACATGCCGCGGAGCAACTAAGCCCGAGAGCCACAACTACTGAGCCTGAGCGTCTGGAGCCTGTGCTCCACAACGGGAGAGTTCGCGACAGTGAGAGGCCCACGCACCGCAATGAAGAGTGGCCCCCGCTCGCCACAACTGGAGAAAGCCCTTGCACAGAAGCAAAGACCCAACACAGCCAAAAAAAACCCACCTAAGCCAAAAATAATTAAATTAATTAATTAAAAAAAAAATTTGTACCTAGAGATACTGCCCTGATATAGCAAGAGAATAAGTAATGAGCGCATTTCCTGTGTCCCTTCTCTGATGACAAGAATGAAGAAGGTGACAGCCAGTGCACAAACATGTCAGGCACTGTTCTAAATGCTGGCGAAAAGCAGTAAACCAGAAAGAGTTACAGCTCTCCTAGAGCCTTACCTTCCGGGTGAAAGGAGACCAGCATTAAACGTGCAAACAAAAGTTTCAGATCTGAAAGTGCTGTGACCAGAGTAAACAGAGTGATGTGGTAGAGAGTAACTCCAAGTGATGCTTTAGCTAGAATGGCCAGAGAATGCCTCTGAGAAGGTAATGTTTTCACTAAGACTTGAGCGGTGAGAAGGAGGCAGTTTATGAAGGTCTTCGAAAAGAATGTTTCAAGTTGAGGGCATAGAAAATTCAGAGGCCCTGAGATGGGAAGGAGCTTGAATGAGGGAAAGAAAGGTCACTGTGGCTGGAATAGGGGATGTGGTGATGAGACAAGCCTTGAGGTCATAAAGAACTTGGGATTTTAATTTAGCTGCAGAGGACTTTAAAACAGGGATATGACCAGGTTTAGGATATTGAAAGCTCATCTTGGTTGCTTTATGGAGGAGTGGGCAACAATGAAGAAGGCAGGGAGACCAATTGAAAGATTATTCTGATAGTCCAGGTGAGATGTTGACGAGTTGGACTAAGATCGTAGCAGTGGGAATTGAGAGAAATTGTCATATTTGGGATATGTTTTTGAGGTTTTCTTGACATGAATTGCTCATGGATTGGTTATGGAGTGCAAGGGAAGGAAGTTTTTGGTTTGTCCAACTAGAAGGATAGCTGTACATTTAGATAAAAAGAATTGGAGGTGGTAGTGGGGTGTAGCTGTTGCATGTAGATTGGTAATTCTGTTTCAGGGCATATTAAATACCTTAAGTAGACATACAATCGGACATACATAGCTGGAGCTCAAGGGAGAGATCTGGGCTGTAGACGGAAGCTTGAATATCAGATAGTACCCATGTGATTGTAGAGATGAACTGTATTAGTTTTGGTAGGGCTGCCATAACAAAGTACCATGAACTTTGTGCTTCAACAACATAAATTAATTTTCTCACAATTCTAGAGGCTACAGGTCCAAGATCAAGGAGTCGAGACCTAAGAATAAAGGAAAGAAAAAAGAAGCAAAAAGGTGGGAGAGAGGAAATTTACTGGGGATATTGAGGAATAGAGTTTAAGAAAAGAACCTAATGTGGTTAGAGGCAATTAAATAGGCTAGAACATTTAAGTTTGATTTGGTACAAATATAAAGACCCAGCATGTATTAATTTTACTGAATTGTTGCCTGAAATATTAAACCAGATTATATCTGTATTTCTTCCAGCTGCATAAAATTCTTGGAGATAAGGTGAACAATACTGCCGTAATTGAAAAGCAAGTGCTAGAACTTTGGGACAGACTGTATCATTCTTGGTTTGTAAAGGTAAGTTATTTTAGCTAAGGATTTCAGTTGTAAACTAATAGTGTCATTTTATGGACTCATTGACCAGGTAGGATTGTGTTAACATTGGGGTTTTATTTATTGACATTTTTAAGCTGCAATTTCTTTTTTTTTTTTCTTTTTTTTTTTTTCTTTTGCGGTATGCGGGCCTCTCACTGTTGTGGCCTCTCCCATTGCGGAGCAGAGGCTCCGGATGCGCAGGCTCAACGGCCATGGCTCACGGGCCCAGCCGCTCCACGGCATGTAGGATCCTCCCGGACCAGGGCACAAACCTGTGTCCCCTGCGTCGGCAGGCGGACTCTCAACCACTGCGCCACCAGGGAGGCCCAAGCTGCAGGTTCTTAAACCTCAGGTCACTAAAAGTCAGCTTGAATTGATGATTAGTCTCCATGGCAGAACCTACCAGTCTCTGGTGTATCAGTATTCCATCCTCTGTTCATTACCATCAACAGCATCCCATCCTCTAGACCAGATTTGTACAGTAGAAATGTAATGAATGCAAGTCATACATGTAATGTTAATTTTTCTAGTGGCCACATTTAAAAAAAAACTAGGACAGGTGAAATTAATTTTAATAATGTATTTTACTTAACCCAGTATACCGAATATATGTCATTTCCATATGGAATGAATAAAAAAATTTAATGAGGCTTTATATATATATATATATATATATATATATATATAATTTTTTCCATTTTTGGATTAGCCACATTTTAGGTACTCAGTAGCCATATGTGGGTAGTGGCTACTATTTGGGACAATACAGCTTCAGACTAAGAACTTTTCTCTTTGAGGAAGTGAAAATAGATCCAAAAGTTTAGAGAGATTTATTTTATTTTAAATAAACCTTTAATGCTACTTGTGCTGATGTACTCCAATTTCAGAATTTATGACGAAAAATAGTATCATTTTTCATTAAATATAAAAATGATGGTTTGAAAGCAGCTAGTTGTGCCAGGCTGTTCTATACACTGCGTTGGCAAGGCCTGTGGAAGGCCTTGTGCTGTGCTGTGGAAGATGCCCATCCAGGGGAAGGAGATAGAGTGGGGCAGAGTTCGTGGTTGCTTTTTCCCTGGGTTGATCTAAACAGAAGAGAAACATAAATAAATCTCTTAACTTGGGGTTTGGGGGTAGGAGGGCTTGATTTAAATTTGAATTTGTTGCTCAGTGACCTGTTTGGCATTGTGTACTCCTGCCCCAGGAGGAGTCGAAGGAACAGTGATGGTTTTTGTGGCTTTCCAAAACTGGGAGTTAAAACTAACTGGGCGGGCTTCCCTGGTGGCACAGTGGTTGAGAGTCCGCCTGCCGATGCAGGGGACACGGGTTCGTGCCCCGGTCCGGGAAGATCCCACATGCCACGGAGCAGCTGGGTCTGTGAGCCATGGCCGCTGAGCCTGCGCGTCCGGAGCCTGTGCTCCGCAGTGGGAGAGGCCACAACAGTGAGAGGCCCGAGTACCGCAAAAAAAAAAAAATCTAACTGGGGGATCTCTGGGTAGATATCTGCTGAAGAGCCAGACTATTGGAAAGTTGTATCCACTTCTTCTGCTGATTCTGGGGCTTCTGCTTACAGACAAACAGCTTTTACTGTCCCTCACCCGCTTTGAGCTTCACTTATGGTCCAGGGTGGTCAGTGTTTTAAAAGCATAGATTTGTAAGTGGGTAAGTGCATTGCTTTCTTTACCTGTTTTACTAGGATCTAATGTCTTCATTGCATAATGAAGGCAGGCATCACAGTGCTGTTTGAAAAAAGTGCGAGAATGGAAACACAAGAATGTTAAGAATCTACTTCTATTTCTAAATTTTAACCTTACCAGTCACTTTGTTTATACATCACATCACTCTTTCAAATCTGTTATTCCTGCATTTCTGCCAATGTAATTCTCTTCCAGATAGACAAGTTAGATTCCCCCCCAACCCTTGTTTTCCCCTGTTTTATTGAGATATGATTGACATATAACATTGTATTGGTTTTAGCTGTACTTTTTCATATTTCCCCTCTGCTTCCTTTAGCGTGTATGGAGGAGTAATAAGAGAGATGAGCAAAGGAGGAAAAAAGCAAAACTGGGAGACCAAGAGAAAGGTTAGAGGGGCTAAAAGGGAAAAATAAGATGAAAGTATATGCTGCGTTCCTGTTCAGTTGAACATACTGACGAGTAAAGTGTGTTCATGAACATACTTAGAAGGAAAGCTTTTAAGCTAGGCTGAGACACAGTAACTAGAATGTAAACAGAAAAATATATTTCAGGTCTTTCGGTGGAGTTCTTTGTTGATTTCTTAAATAATAAAAAGTTTTTCACCTTTGTGCACTTACTAAATTGCTCAAGTGGACCTAAAACAAGATAGGCTATTTATACCTCCTATTCTTTAGGTTAAGATGGAGATTTCATGTCTGAACTGTTCTATTCCATAGAATGTAACGCACTCTGGAAGGCTCAAAGGACACAAGATGCACATAAGTCGTCAGAATAGCTGGCTGGGAGACATTCTGGACTGGCAAGATATCGCTTCCTTTGTCCATGAGAACATTGAGACATTTCTTTCGGTAAGAAATAGTATTTATAGTTAAACTGGACTTAGATACAAAAACAGAAACTCTAATTCCCAGTTTTCTTCACACACTGAAATGCCTTTCGGTACCCTGTTTTTAATGCCATGACATTTACAGTTTGGAGAGTTCGAAATGCACTAGAAAGATGTCCAAAAGCCTTAGGCCTCAGGTGTAACTCCCTGATGCCTCCTCTGTGGTTGAAGAGTAACCAAGAGATGCTGACTCAGGTAGCACACATAATGCTGTGGCTCTCAGATTCTGAGATGGTATCCTTGTCCCCTAGGCTGACCAGAATGTCCCCAGTTGGACCACTAGAGAGGGAGCCACCTTTGGTGGGTGAAGCCCTTTGGCAGATGGAAATATGGTTCCAGTCACATTAGAGAGACTGGATGTTTAAAGGCTTCGCTTATTATCATCCCACCTGTCCTTCCCTCATGCACCACCCACCTCTGCCTTGTTTACCAAAGGATCAAAGGCAGCAAGGAACAGCTTGCCGTGTTGCCAAGTTTCAGCGACTATTCTTCATTCTATAGCCTACTTTGTGAGGTATCTTGATCTGTGGCTTTCCACAGAGATGAGAAGACTTCTCTTGTGAATAAACTTGTAACTCTCATCATGTTAATAAAAGTGGAGGTTTGCTGTGCTAGATATTTTTAAAATTTAATTTTTATCAAAACAATAGATGACCATAGCTTAAAGGTCAAAAATGTTTTAAGGTTTTCAATAAACAATAGCAGTGCCCCTGCTCTGTGCTTCCCCACTTCAGTCTCATTCTCCAAAAAGAGTTCTCAATTCTTTTAGCTTTCTCTGTGTATTAACCTCTAAATTTCTTAAATAATGTTTATGCTGCTCTTTCTTGGTTTTACAATATTATCTTTTGGCTTCCTAACATGGAAGATGAAGATACAAGTCCCTCAGTGCTTCCTTACAGCTCCCTTGGGGTTTTCTTACAACTCCTTTGGTCCCTTCACCCAGTCCCTTCACCCATCCCTGCACTCACATTTTCCCTTTCTCCCAATCGCCTAATGTAGCTACAACAGTTTGAAATTACATCTAGAAATTCATGTCCTTCAATTCTAAGAATGTTGTTTTTGATAATCCCTTCCCTCTGTTTTCTGTAGTCCAGTGGCTCTCAGATTTTGGTGTGAGGACTCCAAAGAGCTTTTGCTAATGTAGGTTCTATTGATACTTATTGTATTAGCAGTTAAAACTGCGAACTTTAGGGCTTCCCTGGTGGCGCAGTGGTTGAGAGTCCGCCTGCCGATGCAGGGGACACGGGTTCGTGCCCCGGTCCGGGAAGATCCCACATGACGCGGAGCAGCTGGGCCCGTGAGCCATGGCCGCTGAGCCTGCGCGTCTGGAGCCTGTGCATCCGGAGCCTGTGCTCTGCAATGGGAGAGGCCACAACAGTGAGAGGCCCGCATACCGCAAAACAACAACAACAACAAAAAAAACTGAGAACTTTAAAAATATTTATCAATTCACTAAAAAATAACGTTACTTGTTGACATGAAGGGCATGCTTATTATGTCTGAAAAATAACCATTTTCCAAAACAAAAAAAATGATTTAGTGTGAAGAGTGGCTTTCTTTACATTTTTGCAAACCTGTTTAATTTTGCAAACCTCATGTTTGTTTCTGCATTCAGTCTGTTGGAATATGTTGTTTTGGTTGAAGTATATGAAGAAATCTAGCCTCACACAGATATGTAGCTGGAAAAGAGGGTAGTCTTTTAATAACCTTTTCAGATCATCGTGACTATTCTTTGATACTACACCAAAACTCAACAAATGGTATTTCTTAAAGGTTAGTTGCAGTGTAGAATTTGAAACCGTATCAGTGAACTTTTTCTTCTCTCCTGTTTTAAGGTCCCTTGATCTATCTTGGCTAGGAATGGATCTTCTACCCTTACATGATTTTGTAATGTGCACTGGTCATTTGGAATATTGGTTCACTAATATCTAATTCTAAATATTGACACGTTTTGTCATACAGTATTAAAAAAAGTTACATTCTTTAATATCACCACCTATCTCATCAGAACAAATTTTAAGAAACTGTCAAGGTCAGCCCTTGATTGAACTTTTTGGTTTTATAATACCCAGCATCTCTTTCTTCTTTTCTGAACCTTTCTTCCTAATCCCTTTGAGTACCTAGAAAAGTTACTGGATTGTTAGTGACTACCAGTCTACAATTAATGTATTCAGTTAATTTCTTAAGAATTACCACAGAGTATTTCCTATCAGTATGACCCAGAAACTATTTTAAAAATTTTTTTGATAAAAATTCCAAAGTGACTGAATTCCCCAAGAGAATGTTTGTAAAAATCACAAGTAAGGGCATTGTTGGTTTGTTTCTTAGAATCAGTGGCAGTATTCATTCATTCTTTATCCCATAAGGTCAGACAGTCAATCATGCATATTTTTGTAGGCATCATGAAGCATTTTCAAGACTTTATGTAAGGAGCTATTGTAAATGAAACTAGCCTGCCAAAGTCCTCTTATGAAGGCTGAGCTGAGGTTTGCAAGAAATGCTGAGGACAACAAAATATGCCTTTATAAATGGTACATTTGAGGTAGGAAAGGAATGGATAGGCCTTTCATGGAAGAGATGGTATAACTTGAGCATATGACAAAAAACAGAACTTCTCTTTTGGAAAGGGCAGCAAAATAAAACCAGCCATTAGGAGTTCTGGTCCTAGCTCTAGTTCCGCTTATTAGCTTCATGCCCTTGGGCAAGTTTTTAAAAATCTCTGAGCTTCGGTTTGTATATCTGTAAAATAAAGATGATATCATCTACATTGCTTCCCTCGCTGCATTGCTGTGAGGTTTATGCGAGCATTTTGAAAACTATAATGGAAGGTGTTTTTCTGATCATCTTGCTTCCTTGTTTTTCATTAAGAGGAAGGATAGTCCTCTTGGGGAGAATAATAGAACAGACATTATCATATGGGACTTTAAGTTCATGAAGAGATAGGAAATATCTATAACACACCTACGTGAAAATACGTAGGTGTGTTATAGATATTATACATCTTCTTTCAGTAATATTTACCATGTATTAACATCTGGTTCTAGTGAATTTGCAGGTGATGGATCAGATGAACTCAGTAGGTCTTCATATAGGGTCATTATCTATCTGAGGAAAGGTTTTTAGCTGCAGAGCTCTGACCCCATCTGTTCATTTCTTTTATTGTGACTTTAGTGAAGTCACTGAAGTGACGCTTTTGTGTTTGTTGTTGGTTCTAAGTTGAAGATGGCAAGTCCATGGGGGAGGTATAGCTAATCAGACTAATGTTAGAATTTCTTGGCCTGTGCTTGTGGTCCTACAAGCTACATACAACTACAGGTTGCATTCTGGCATATTCTTCTGTAGGTATTTTTTCTATGCGTGCCATTTCATAGTTATAATCATGCTATAAATAAGCTTTTTTGTCCTGTTCTTTATTTTATTTTTTTTTGCGATACTCGGGCCTCTCACTGTTGTGGCCTCTCCCATTGTGGAGCACAGGCTCCGGACGCACAGGCTCAGCGGCCATGGCTTACGGGCCCAGCTGCTCCGTGGCATGTGGGATCTTCCCGGACCGGGGCACGAACCCGTGTCCCCTGCATTAGAAGGCGGACTCTCAACCACTGCGCCACCAGGGAAGCCCTGTCCTGTTCTTTAAACTTAGCATTGTATCATAAAGTATTTTTCTGTGTTATAATAGAGATGTTTTAATGGCTGCCTGTTATTATTTGTAGTATATTCACCATAATTTACTTAACCATTTTCCTTACTAATTAACATTCAAATGTTTTCAGATAAAATAATACTCAGTTCTTGTTGTTTCAGTTTATGGTAGTAAAACACTCCATGAAGAGCACACTAGATAGCTGTAGAAACTTCTTTCCTGAGGATGAGTCCTAATATTTAGCCTTCCCTCCTCGCCAGATCTTAGAGTCCCTGTGGATCGTTATGAGCCGGAATGTGAGCCTGCTCTTCACCACTGTCACCACGCTCCTGGCCATCCTCTTCTACAGCGGGACTGCCCTCCTCAACTTTGTTCTGTCTCTGGTATGTACACACAGATGAGTACGTGTCACACTCCTTCTGCAGTAAAGCATATTCTTGGTTCCATTTATGTTTCCTTCCTGTAGTTTCCAAATGTGATATTTTAGGAGGTACTGTCCTTTGTTTTGCAGATAATTTTCCTGACCACACTATTTTATCTGTTAAGTTCCAGTGATGAGTACTACAAGCCAGTGAAGTGGGTGATAAGCCTGACACCACTATCTCAGCCAGGTCCTTCTTCTAATATTATTGGCCAGTCTGTGGAAGAAGCTATCAGGTAGGGAAAAGATTTATGCTGTCCTTACTTCCTTCAGAAACTGCTCTCCATGAGAGGCCCATTTTTCTGTCTTGAGCCTTCCTGGTAACATTCAATGCTAAGCTATTTAGGGACACTGGTATTTTCAAATTTTTTTTTTTTTTTTTTGCGGTTCGCGGGCCTCTCACTGTTGTGGCCTCTCCCGTTGCGGAGCACAGGCTCCGGACACGCAGGCTCAGCAGCCATGGCTCACGGGCCCAGCCGCTCCACAGCATGTGGGATCTTCCCGGACCGGGGCACGAACCTGTGTCCCCTGCATCGGCAGGCGGACTCTCAACCACTGCGCCACCAGGGAAGCCCCTGGTATTTTCAGATTTTTAACATCTCCTTTGAGAGGATAATGTGAAACAGTTTTAATATCTTACTCTCAAGCCTGTGATGTACAAAGGTCTAATGGCCTGTCCCCAGGCCCTTGCTGCAGCTTCTAATCGTCACATAATTTGCTCGGGAGAAGCCCCTCCTGCACCCTGCACCACACATACACCTCAGCTTCTCTCAGAACCCTCCTTGTATTCTCGGGAATTCTAGCTTTGCTTGGGGAGGAGAGTAGGTGGCCTTCCTGTTTCTTCCTCTGTCGCTCTGCAGCCAGGCTGTGTCCTCTGCAGAGGGTAGTTTGGATACCGGAAATGCAAAATTTGGGGTTATTTCCAAGTCACGCGCTCTGTGTGTATCGCAGTTTCCAGCCAGAAATTTCCATCATGTCTTCTGGGGTCTACGTATTGCAGGCTTGATTTCTGAATGAGATGATTCTTCAGCTTTTATTCTTCATGTCCTCTTTCCAAGTCACTGATGCCTTTTTCTTTTTCCTCTTCATCATGTCAGGTAGGGACAGGCCTTTTGCAGCCTTGTCTCAGCTCCTTCCCAAAACTTTGTCCCTCATTGCTCTAACTCATTAATAAGACTCTCCTTCATTTTGACTTCTTATGAATAGCTACTCAAATGAAATCCTCATGCTATCCATTAGAGCTCCTTTTTCTAATAAGCTGTTAGGCGGTCTAAAGCCTCTCTTGAATAGTGACTCTTTGGCTGGCATTTCTGTTTCCACATACTTTTAAGAAAATGGTAATTTCTTGAAACTAGTCTGCCACAGAAATGTTGATTTGACCTGATAATTCTGTCTGACTGATTTTGGCTTATTTTTTCACTGTGTTCATGTAACAGCTGGTGAGGATACCACTTTGATCTTTGGAAAACCCTTGGTTACATTCAAATAGCATGCATGCACCTAAAATATATTTTCTCTGGAAACTTTGCTAGGTTTTCTGTTTTTCCTCCTACTTTATTGGACAGTAGGTGGGATTAAAACCAAAAAAGCTCTTATCCCCTTTGGTGCTCCCAGGTATCCACATGGAGCCATCCATGTAAATATTCTGAGTTTGGGAGTATACTGTCTACTGCAACAGCTTTCAGGGTGAAGTTGTCTTCAGGAAAAATACTTGCTGGCTTTAGCATCCCTTCTAAGCCTATTTGACCATTGGTTTTCATCTTTATTAATCTATCAATAGATTAACTTTAATGTATCTAAGTGACATCTGTCTCAAAAAAGTTTATGCAAATACTTTACCAAAAAGGAAAAATAACTTTCTATCTTCCCAATAGGATAAAGCTATGGAATCAGCCATATCAAAGGCTGCCATAATCCTCTAGTCAGTGTGACTTAAGCCAAGTCTTACAGAAAAGTATCTAGCTTGTCCATAAAGAACTTCAAGAAAGATACTTCTTTTTCCTGAAGTAACCTTTACTAGCACAGCTGGCCATCCTCTAAATGTCTGTCATTGAGTCATTTTTTTTTTATACCAAATATGCCACCTCCTTTGTTTTAAAGATTATTCTTTAATGTCATGGTTCCTTGGAACTGGTAAGCAGAGCTGTGATTTGTACCTAAGTCCAGCTGATTGAGATCACACATTCTTCTGGTATACCATGATGCCTTCTTCCAGGAGATGGTTGGAACAAAAGATGATGAATTAAATTCGTGGTACTGTTAAGACTATTCACATGGACACATGAGGCTGGCAGCTAAAAATTTAGTTCTTTGCAGAGAAAGACAAATATCACATGATATCGCTTATACGTAGAATCTAAAAAAAGGAAACAAATGAACTTACTTACAAAACAAATAGAAAACAAATTTATGGTTACCAAGGCTGGAGGGAGGGTTAAATTAGGAGCTTGGGGTTAATAAAATACACACAGTACTGTATGTAAAATAGATAACAAGGGCCTACTGTATAGCACAGGGAACTATACTCAATATCTTGTAATAACCTATAATGGAAAAGAATGTAAAAAAGAATATATATATTCATATATATGTATAACTGAATCTTTGTATAACTTTGTTATATATGTATAACTGTACACTTTACACCTGAAACTAACAGAACATTGTAAGTCAACTATATTTCAATAAAAATTTTAAAAATTAGGTTTTTGGTTCAGGAAGGAATTTTGAGGTTAGAGAGTGTACAGTCATCTACATAGATATGAGGAAATATGTGTCTTTTGACAGGTTAGATTTGCTTTATCTTCTTGGGATTGTACACACTAATTATGTACTATAAGAATAGCCCATGTCTTGGTTCTAATGTATACTCGTACAAAAACCATTCATTTTATCTTATTTTTTTAAAATTTGTTTTTAACTTTTTATTTTGTATTGGAGTATAGCCGATTAACAATGCTGTGATAGTTTCAGGTGCAGAGCAAAGGTTAATGTTTTTTTATTGTGGTAAAAGTCACATAGAGGACTTATTTTTAATACAGAAAAAAAATTAACAACCAGCACTACAATCCTAATTGTTCTCAAAATTGATAGATTTCTGTGAGTCTGAAAAATATGGTACAGACGAGATAACTTGTTATATAGGCTGGGCCATTCTTCTAACCACAGCTATATCAAGTTATATAAATTATAGATTGTAATTCAGGTTGATTTTTAGCAGCCTGAGTGCTTTTTATTTCTTTACTGGGTCAAATTCAAGGCTTAAAATATAAAGTCATACATAGATACCTCTGAAGAACTTTCTCATATATGTAAGATAACAATGAGTTCTAGTTCTACAAGCTCCTGTCAGTTTTTTCATTCTTAAGGATTATGTTCAAGATGGAATATGTTTCTTCATGGAGAAAGATTTTAAGAGGGAAAATATTATACAAATGATCATGAAAATATTATCATAATGCCCTGAGACTGAAGTTTAGTGTGTAAATTATCAGTGATGTCAGGTTTTATAAGCATCAGTCATTAGTTGTCATCAGTGTTGCAGTTAAGTGAATTATTAAACTCATTTTATATGATCCATTAATAAGTTAAAAGTGGAATTGAAATTGGGAGTTAACTGCATGTCCAGACAGTGAAAGTGTCTTTGTTCTTCAAGCTTTGCCTTCTGAAATATGTGGCTACTAGATAATCACTGTCTCATTGAATTTCTGAACCTTAGTTATTTTTCTCCATTCTGAATGAGTATTCTTCTAAACCGAATACATTTGTGATTGGGTTTTCATTTCATGAATTTTTGAGTTAGTGGCATGCATCCGTTACCCCTAAACCATTTTCCTCCCCTTAGAGCATGTTGTGTCCTGAATGTTTGCATCACACCCTTCTTCCCCGATGCTCCATTCTGCTTGCTCTGGTGGAGATATTGCACATTACTAAGTTGCATGTTGTCACGGCCTCAGTGCAATTTAGTGTGTGTGATATTTTCACATGAGTGCATGCACACGGGTAGGGCTCTTGCTTGTGGGATTACAGCTTTTCAGGGCCGGTGGGTGGGAGTCCTAGTGATGAATTTGATGGGAGAATGTATGTACTGTGAGATTTTCGGTGAACATGCTTCCCACCTCTACCCTCCAGTTTTGCAGAATTAAAAGTATTTGGGTTAAAAAAAAAATCAGCGTCGATAATTTAGTAAATCAGTATTTCCAGATTTTACTGGAAATATTAAATATTCATTAGAAAGAAATTCTTGTGGATTTAAGGTTATAAACATTATTTGTTTAAATTAAAACGTATAAGGAAGAGTTTAAAGCTGTAAGAAAATATATTTTCTTTTATTTGAAGAGATCTCCTAACGCTGAAATAGAGAGGCAGAATCTCTTATGCATGTTTGGGAAAAGTAAAATTAGTAGAGTTCTTAAATAATAACCAAGTCAGTAAATATAATGCCTTTTTAACCTACTTGATTAAAGATCAGTTTAATAAGCTTAAACCTTTGCTTCAAGTTTCCAAGGGAAATGACTTTTAAAAACTTTGTCTTGTATTTAGTTTCTCTTTGTGGTGCTTTAAAAATTGCTAATTTCATTTTAATAAGGCTCATAATAGAACTAGTGTTGAGATACAAATGTTTGCTATTTGCGTATGTAATTGAAACAACCTCTTGTTGATTTTTTAAATTAGCACTAGAGTAAGTATCCATGATCGGTAGGCACTGTCAAAGACACAAAACAATGTGTTAATTAAATAAAAATATTGAATTAGTATTCACTGCTGCCAAGGACTCCACACGATTTAATGTGATGCCATGGTTGTACGCTTGTGTGTGTGATTCACAGTTATTTCCAGCGGGGATAGAAGGCGTCTATGGGAGCAGCTCTCCCTGAGCCCCTCACCAGCACGCTAGGTCTGCGTGCACAGCGTGACCATTCCCCTCTGGAATGGAAATCCAGTGTCAACCAAGTTTCTGTACCTTTTACTGTGGAGCTGGGTCTCTGGGGTGGCTAGTGAATCAGGAAAGGGAGGGGGTTGTAATGAAGGGATCCCTGATTGGTCATTTTATACGTGGGGTCTCTGAACATGCCTGCCCTCTCCACTAGCTCACCTTCTACTTGAGGTGCACTGTGTGGCAGTGAGGGTAGACTACTGTTGTTCCCTGGGGAATGATAGTCTAATAGTCTTCCTGTCTGACCTTTAGAAAGAAAAGAGGGCAGAACCAGTGTAAGGAAATGTCAGGAGTAGGCAG